GTTGATTAATGAATCCAAAATTGTGGTATGTTGCTTGCTTAACGGCTAGACCTCGTGTAGGCGCACCTTAAACTCAATCTTCCTGGTGGTCTCAACATGATAAAGCATTTCAAGTCAGATACGTGCTTGGATATGTACCTACATGTGTTTAACTGACGGTTAGTGTTCGTCTTTGATACGTCGTTACCGTCATTTGTGACGTACGGAGACAATGAGATTTGCATTTTAGGAGTGTTTATGGCCTCGTTTAAGATATTCCTTGTCTAAACATAGACTGTTGTTGCTCAAGCTTAAATAATACGAAGTTGTTTGTAGAGCAAGTATAAAGAAAGTTACGAGTAGTATAAGTATAGGTATGTTCGAGTATGAATATGTGAAACAATAATCTACCTCCCTATTCGAAAATAATACTGACACTTACGAGTATATTGCCTCAACAATGATGAAAATGGATACTATTTAAATACCAATCCATTCGAGACAAAAGCTCTACCGATTAAATTATGGTCGCCATGTCGAAATTAATTATTGCAAATCTTTACTCGTGTTGCATGGTATTTAACTTAGACCGGCGTTCTTTGTTAGATGATGCACAAAGGTTTCCACACGAAGACCTTGCACCACAATGCAGCTGTAAAATTCTACAATTCTAGACTCGGCATTGAGCGTCTAGAACTATTCCGGGCGATCAGTCAATGCCGTCTGTCCGTCACGTCCCATCTTCATATTCTCCGGCGGTAAGAAACCCATTTGTTCCGTGCATTACGCTTTTTGTCCAAACGCTTTTTGCGCCCCACCCCGTTGTGGGGATAGCGACCAATCGCTATGGAATCGCTTTCAGAATTTACAAAGTTGAGTTTCAGCCATGCGTCATTAGTAGAGCCGTTAAGAAATTGATCATTTCATTATCTTTGATGTTCATTATTGAAATGCCTCATAATGTGACCCAAACAAAACTTAGAGGCCAACATAAAGTATATCACACCAAAGTATCTCTAGCGAACTAGATGTAGAGGTAGGTACCCTAGTACATCTTTCGTAATATTATGTGAGATCATGGGACTCGTTGCAACTGGCTATCTACAGTACCAAAACAAATCTTCATTTGATTGTACCTAGTTTATCACAACACCAAAAACGTCGCACGACGACGTGAATCGTGCAACGCGACCAGTCGCGAACGCACACGTAATAGCCCCTCAACGCTACGTGCTTTCTTAGACCATAATTTATTCGAGACATATGGTCCTCTTCGTCACGCTTAAAAGGAGGAGAGGTGTGCGAGTGAGAGGAAATGCTAATGTAATGCATAGATAAAGTGCCACGCATCGCCCGACCTGGAATAGAACTGTTCAGAGACCTTGCTCTTTGTAATTTTTGGAGGCGGCATCCCACACTCTTATTAAGATCATCTACGAGTAGGTACTACTCAGTCAATATTATTTAAACGATGCGATCATGCGACAAAATGAAGCTGACTATAAACAGTTTAGTATTCGTGATCGCATCAATATTATTTCACTAAATCATGACATATTTGTTTGATAAATCATTACAAAATACAACATCAACTTTACTGACAATAAATGACATGTTTTCTGCAAGTTATGTTCAACTGTAGCTCTAACTAACGGTACATAATACAGTAATTTCTTTACAATGATATTAACTAAGATGGTTTAACATTGTATCGAAGTAAAACGATATTATAATGCATATTGGATAAGATTACAAATAAGTATGATCCAAGATGTTACACCTTTACTTCCATCAAAATGTGTATTTCCCGGTGCCGTAACAAGCGATGCATCATTTTCTGAGTATCTTTCGTCTCGATATTATCACGACATCAAAGGCATTCTGCGGCAAAATCTCGCCGCGAGTAGGCAGCCTTATCTCGCCAGGCCTCCTCCAAACAAAGTAAGATACGTCGCTCAAGGCGCGACTTACGATAGTGGTACCTACAGCCGCCCGCCGCGCCGTGCCGCGTGACAGGGTTGTATAATGGAACTCGAGTCTTGAACGTATCAAGTTAATTTCTGTTAACTAGGTCTACGTCTACCCTCATCGTTATGGAACTATAAACTGCTTCGATTGCTTGATAAGATCGATCAACTATTCAAAGAAGAGTTGATAAAAGTTTCCTAGCAAGATGGTGACGTTAGCTGACTCACGCTGAAACCTGGGTTTCCGGAGTTTCATATCCTCTCTCAATCTTCTGCCACCTCGTTAGTCCCTTTCTCGGAAAATAAAAACAAATTAGAAAACATACCTTTGCAGTTTAAAACAAGTTTTTCCATCTATTTTACAAGAGTGACTGTTTGGTGACCCAAAACAACAAATTAACATTTCTTTATTGGACTGAGACCTTGCTTCTTGCTAAATTTCATTAATCTAGGTCAGCGAGAAGTTTAGGTTTTTGGTTTTACTTTGAAGTATCTGAATATGCCTGATGAATTGTATTTTTATGGGTTAGAGCTGAAAGGGCTATATACCAGCTCCCACTCTTAGACTAGAGCAATTTTGATTAATATTGTGCTAACGACTACATCTGATAATTCAAGAGTTTTCTTTAATTATTTGCCTATTTTATTCAGTTCAGATACAAGATAATCTTTTCCAAACACTGACAGAACTGTAGTTCCAATTCTCATTTTATATACATACTAGCGGCCGCCCGCGACTTCGTACGCGTGGACCTCGTTTTACTCCATTAGGGGTGGAGTTTCGTAAAATCCGCTCTTAGCATCTATAGCGCATACATTTAAAATTTCAACTCTCTTATGTGTTTAAAACATAGGACTTTCATAATATAAACTTCCAACCCTCCTTTTATCTCCTTAGCCCCCGTAGTTGATTTCTAATGATACATTTTCAGTATAATATGTACCACCACCACCACCACCATTTCAGCCATAGGACGTCCACTGCTGAATATAGGGCCCCCCAATGCTTTCCGTGTTGATCGATTGGAAGCGGCCTGCGTCCAGCGCTTCCCTGCTACCTTTACGATGTCGTCGGTCCACCTTGTAGGTGGAAGTCCCACGCTACGTTTTCCGGTACGTGGCCTCCATTCCAGAACCATTCTGCCCCATCGGCCATCAGTTCTGCGTACTATGTGCCCTGCCCATTGCCACTTCAGCTTGCTAATCCGTCGGGCTATGTCACCGACTTTGGTTCGTTTACGGATCTCCTCATTTCTGATTCGATCTCGCAAAGAAACACCAAGCATAGCCCTCTCCATAGCACGCTGTGCAGCTGAGCTTCTGTATAAGGCCTATAGTGAGAGGCCACGTTTCCGAGGCATAAGTTATCACTGGTAACACACATTGGTTATACACTCTAGTCTTCAGGCATTGAGGTATTTTGGACGAAAAGATGTTGCGTAGTTTCCCAAACGCTGCCCAGCCGAGTTGGATTCGACGATTGACCTCCTTCTCGAAATTTGACCTACCTAGCTGGATCGTTTGTCCGAGGTAGACATACCTACTTGTCGACAATCTCGAGAATTGAGCTCCCAACTGAAACTGGGTAGGGCGCAATATGGACATTCGGCATAAGCTTCGTTTTGTCCATGTTCATCCTCAGGCCTACCTGTTGGGAAAATCGATTAAGGTCTTCGAGCATTGTGCCAAGATCTTCCAACGATTCTGCCATGACCACAATATCGTCGGCAAACCGATGTGTACACAGTACCACAGTGTACCGAACAGTATATGTACACCTCCACAATATCTAGAGATCATAGTGAGCATACACTTTAACTTTCAAGTCTCTTACTTTAAAAACCGAACTAGCTGACCCGGCGAACTTCGTACCGCCTTAGCGTAGAGATTTTCTTAATATTTTTTTCCGTAAGAACCATCCTTGGACTTCCACAAACATTTAAAAAAAAGAATTATCGAAATCGGTTCAGCCGTTCACACGTGATGCCGTGACAACGCGAAACGGGTTTCATTTTTATATATATAGATTTACTACATACATAATATGCAATAGATAATTAAATAAGGAAAAAAAAACTATATAATTATATTATTTATAAACATAATAAAATAGAAGTATATCATCAGTAAAACTACCTATCCAAAATTTCTACAATTATTATAAAATACTATTTATTACTAAATTCATTAAAAAATGGTCAAGCATCTTATGTTTTTAAGTGGCTAAAGGTTTTGTTAGTATACCAAGAATATTACTAATAATAAATTACTAACAGCAAAAACAAACTTAACTCCACATTGTAATAACTTCAAAACTTGTCTGAATATTTTGCATATACTACGTGTTTACGCTTTATTCGTCACTTAGTATCGTCATGTTTAGTGTGTCGTCGTATTAATCGCATCATTGCAAAGCAGTCTTTATGTTAATTAGTTAAAGCTGGTATTCGGGAGGCGAGAATCCTACCTTGCCGTAACACAGTTACGACTAGCACGGAAGGTGGGGAACTTTTTTTCGATATACCGCCAATAGATGTTTATTTTATTAGTTGCATTTGTTGTATATTTTTACAAGTTAGGGGTTAACCATAATAATTAATTAGTGTTGTGGTATGATATTGTTGTTTTGTATGGGAAATTTAAAGGAAACAAATTTTTTTGCAAACATTTTTGCGATCTTTTAGTGAACTTTGCTTCGATTTTTGGAGATACCGATTTTATAATTTTTTGGGCAGACTGAGACAACCTATTATAAGAAAAATTTAGAAAATTGCTACCTTTAAATTAAAACCAAAGGAAAATTTTCAAGCTCGCTTTTATAGATAATATAGATTAAGTAGTTCTTAAAATTAAAATAAAATAGAAATAATAATGGACATAGCCTATTGTAATAAACTAATACCTACCTAGGGAAAATCGGCGGCTTCACACCGTACCCCATATTGCAACATGTTTGTACCTACTCCTCAATAATTATTCTTATTCTTATTCTTATTCTTATTCTTATTCTTATTCTTATTCTTATTCTTATTCTTATTCATTTTATTTTAAATTATTTCAGACCAATACTCCAGTGAGGTGGATGTCCAGAAGTTCTTCACAGCTCTAGGATCTGGTGCTCCGAACAGCGTACCCGAAGAGAACGCTGGTGGTGATGACCAGGTAATAGAATCATCATCATTCAGCACAATTATGACTGTTCACTGCTAGACAAAGGCCTCCCCCAATGATTTCCACATCGCCCGGTTGGTAGCGGCCTGCATCCAGCGCCTTCCTGCTACCTTTATGAAGTCGTCTATCCATTAGTGTTCATCTTTTTATACGGGATTATTGTTACTTACTCTCGTTCCCACCGCTGCAACTCCTGTGTGGCCAGGATCTACAGCTAGACCGCCAATAACCCAACCAGTGAAGGTCAAGTTTGTCCCGGGGGAAAGTTAAACCGTCATTGGAACCCCAACGAAATTAATCAGAAGAACATAGGAGGAGTCCATCTTTTAACTAGTTTAATATGAATTCCAGACCTTCGAAAGAAGCGAGGAGCAGTCAGTTGTCCTCTCAGAAGTGTCCGAATCGTCCGGCAAGGTCAAGGTGACCGCTCTACCGAAGCCCTTAAAGCAGGAGCAGTTGAAGCCTCAAGACTGCTACATCCTGGACACTGTCAGCGGTAGTATCTACGTGTGGGTCGGAAAGCAATGCTCGGCTAAGGTAAGGCTCTTTTTTTAAAGAATTTTAGTAATTTGTTGTTACACAAATTACTAATAGTCCCATTAGCCCCTCGTACTCAGCTAAATATGCTTGTGTCACGAATGAGCTCACCACAATAGTCAGGCGGCGGCGGGGACGGAACCCGCGTTCCCCGGATCACGAGTCGGCCAGTCCGACCTCTTCACCGTTCTGCTATCGTGGCTTCAAAGTCAAAAATCACAAATGTTCCATGCACCAGCTTCACTGGGAATCTTCAACCACAGGGGAACTGGCTATCTTATCTCCTACTGCCGGAACACAACAATGCTGTCAACATTGACTTATGATGACTGACCTAATGTAAGATGGTGGTAGCTGGCCAGGCGGATTTAGAACAGTCCCTACCATCAACAAAATCGATCCGAAAATGTTTCCCCTACTGGGAATCGAACCCAGGATCTTTGGGTGTGTTTTTAGTTGAGTCGGGCTGTGACTTTAGGTGATTCTCCTGGCTTACAGTGACTCTATTATATCTGGCTGACTCAGACTCTGACTAACTCAAACTGACTGTAGTGACTGTTTCCCTGACTTGAATTTGATTCTGTTCTGCCTCTGATTTTTGACTCATAATTGGGTATATTTTTCAGGAAAAAACTGAAGCAGTGAACAAGGCACAGGAATACCTGTCATCTAAGAACTACCCTAAATGGGTAAGTCAATAATAATAATAATAATCATCATCATCATCATTTCAGCCACAGGACGTCCGCTGCTGAACATAGGCCTCCCCCAATGCTTTCCATGTTTCCCGGTTGGTAGCGGCCTGCGTCCCATGTTGCCCGGTTGGTAGCGTCCAGCGCCTTCCTTCCTTCCTTCCTTCCAAAAGTATTATTGACTTAGCAGGTAGCACTGCTAAGTCAATAATAGTTTTTTTATAAAAGAACTTATTTCGATTTAATTACTTTCTTCATTGCGGCACAGAATAAGTAATAGTACAGGTACAGAAGGATTACTCCGCAAGACGATTTAAATAAATGCGAGTCTTGCTACGACGCGATACAGTGGAATTCAGCTCGCACAGCACTACGTACCTACAATTTTATTCACCTACAAGTTTTGTCTCTTTCTATCGCGTGCCTCTGAACTCTTCTTACGCTATTAGGGTTGCTGTCTAATGAAAAAATAATTAATCTACTTATTTGTAATGAGGTACGTATGTAGGTAAGTATGCATTCATTATGGAAAACCTTCATAGTAGGTTAGGTTCCTATACTATCCTAAGAATTATTGATTACCTACATGGCCAACATACCTTTCAGCATCTTTGGGAAGCGAAAAAAAAAGATAAATCCGGTAGATTACTTTTCGAATTTAAACACCCGAACGCCGCACAATATTTATTTCTCTTTATGTCCATTTTTAAATAATACTTCGATCATAGAATTATAATCATACTACAACGCACGCCAGCGTCCTGACAAGCGCGCGCGTGACACTCGACTGATATAATACCCGCCGGCGGGGCGCTTCGCTGTAGGTAATTATCGGATGTACCGCGCGGAGTGAGCCAGGCCTGATTGCGGGCATTTCGCCCTTCCAAAAATCAGGATAAAAACTATCCCATGTGCATTTTAAGTGTCCGAAGTTTTCCCAAAGTGGTGGTAATGCAAGTTATATTTGGGACGTGAACAGGCGCCCTGGATAGTTTGATTTGTTAAACTAAAATGAAAATTATTTTCTAGGTATCCGTAGTGAAGATACCGCAGGGCACCGAACCCGCGGCCTTCAAGCAATATTTCAGCACGTGGAGAGACACCGGCATGTCCCACAACAGACTGGTCTGAAACTAAGTAGGTAAGTACGTAGACTAACTGACGTTCGACATAGAAATCGATTTGAAAAACTTTAGCCCGCGGAGAGTCGAAGAGACAGCGCGACATGTCTCACAATAGACTGGTCTAAGTTAAGTAAGTAAAGTTGTAGTTTAACTGACATTCGAAATAGAAATCGATCGAAAAACTTTAGCACGTGGAGAGACGGCGGCATGTCTCACAACAGACTGGATTCGATAAAGTGCACGAGTAATATTAATAAAGTGCATTAACTCAAAGTACAAATTGTGCTTCGAGTTTTTAATCATAAAAGACAAAAAACTTGAAAACCAGATGTTTTTAGTTAATGTGAAAGTTATGATTGATTTTAATTTTGCACGCTATTTTTTGTGAAAAATTACAAAACAGAAGGACAAGAAAATTAAATGATTCCTTGAAGGTTCCGTTTATTCCTTTTTTAAAGTAAAAGTATTATTTTTAACATTGTTTCTTTTCTTTTTCCAGGTACAAAATCATCGCCTGTGAAGAAAAATACTCAATCAAAATCTGAAGTTTTTAGTAAATTATCTGTAAAAACCTAAATAATAATCATGACCAGAGATTTATACAATAAATATTAATTTAATGTTGTTGTTCTTTATTTACCAACCCTTACAGTAGATACCTTTATTGTAAGTGATGTTCATGAACATGGATATGTGGGATATCCGTAACCGTAACCGATTCAAAAGTTTCGAATAGTTTCGGATGTAGGCAGTTTAAATATTTTTTTTGTATAGCATTACATAATTAATGTAAAGGCATAACAGCCTAATTTACCTTTATAATGCCATCTAGTATCAATTTTTATTTTTTTATTACTTTTATTCGATGTAATTTAAAGTGTGCGGCCATGAATGAACCGTGTTGCTCAACTATTGCACATTACATTCTGTAGCACAGATAATCCATATCGCATAGATATCCGTAACCGTAACCGAAATATTCTGATATCCGAAATAAAAAAATATCCGTAACCGTAACCAAAACCGGTATAATATTATTCCTATATCCGTAACCGTATCCATAACTGAAACTACATATCCATAACATCCCTATTCTGGGGTATTATACCTCAGTCTGAAGTTAAAGTCTTAAAAACAAAGAACCTCCTCCTTAAAACATACATATAACCTCCTTTTTGAAGACGGTTAACAAATCAATCCTCCCACCACTTCTCAGCACCAGCCCATAATTTGTCCCGAAGTGGTGGTAGGGCAAGCCATTTGGACGTGTATAAGCGCTCTGGAAAGGGCCTAGTACTAATAAAAGATTTGATTTGATTTAAAAACTACCTAGTACTAAACATGACGATTCACTTTCCCGCCAAGAAGTCTGTCCGCTCTGACCGTGACAAAAATGTAATTTCTTGCAAAACTAGCGACAAAACTGGTTTTAAATGATGTATTTTAGATAAATAACTTTATTGCGTTGATAATACAGATAAAACTCGCGTCTTCGGGAGTAATGGCATTGACAGATAAAAAATATGCGTAAGGTATTTAGTCTACATGAGCGCTATAAAAAATACAGCTTCTAAAAAAAATAAAGCTTCTAGTTGTGGATAAAAAAATTACATAAGGTACGGGACTATTCCCACCGCTGCAACTCCTGTGTAGCCAGGATCTTCAGCTTGACCGCCAATAAGCCAACCAGTGAAGTTTAAGTTTGTCCCGGGGGAAAGTGAAATGTCATTGGACCCGCAACGAAATTAATCGAAAGAACATAGGAGGAGTTCGAAGTCGACTTTCCTCCAGTGTAATGCGGATGACAAAACAAAGGTTTGTTAACGTTTAAGAAAATATAGGGGAGAGTTCGGTATATTGTACCGCCGGGTAAATTGTACCACCCTCATATTTCGTAAAGATGTCTGTAATTGCAACACTCAGCGATACACAACTAAAATCAATTAATATCGGCCATGTGGTTTTTGCCGTGACAACAAACACGTGTGTTTTATTTTGAAAAGTATTTTTTCATTGTTTTCAAGTAACTTTTGACAATACATGTTTAGATTGTAATTTTGTTAAATTTAATCACAGGGTGTTTCTAATATATTATTTAGAAGCGTAAATTAGTGTGGATTACAATTATTTGAAACATTTTTCGGTATTTACAAGCTATATTTTTTACCGATTTTTTAAAAGCACTATCACCTAGTCGGCTAAATTGTACCACATCAAGTTGTATGGAACTTTACCAAAGGATTTTGAAATTTTTTTTAGTAAATCATATTTTGAAGTTATAATAGCGTAGTTATGTTTGACTAACAATAAATGAAAGCAAAAGACTGGCAAAGTAGATTAATGTGTGCGTTACGATAATTGGAATTACAAAACTTGTACTCAAAATAGTGATAACGTGTAAAACAATATCGATTGTCTATGTTATTAACTACTGTTCCTCTTCGTTTCCTAATTTGTTAACAATGTATCGTATAATATTTTGCCATAGTTTTTTTAAAGGCTTGAAATTTATTGAAATCCAATTTAGTAACCCTGTGGTACAAATTATCGAACCGGTTGGCTAAATTGGACCGAAGCTCTGAACTCGTACTTTGTTGATTTGTGCTAAATATACAACAATCATGTTAATTAATACTTATGAAATAGTAAGTTGAATAATGTATCTTTTATTATATACCATGGACATTAGCAAAAACAAAAGAAAACTATGTGTAAAATGGGATTGAAAAAAACTGGTCCAAATTAGCGGACTCTCCCTTAATAGGTATACAACACGGACAATAAGCATCAACTAAGTATGGAGACCTATCTTACTTTTAAGAGCTACCTGCCAATTATTTGCCAAATTAATGCCAATGCGTGAAATTTAGTTTGTCACAGATCGTCATAAATTATAAGCCTATTATGTTATTCTGGGTTATAAACAATAATACTGTAAAGTTTCATCAAAATCCGTTCAGTAGTTTATAGTTAGTTTATAGTTTTTGCGTGAAAGAGTAACAAACATCCAGACATCCACACAAACTTTCGATTTTTTTTATGCATAACAAGACAGTTATTTGACCACAATCGCACCTGATGTTAAGTGGGATGCAGTCTAGGATGGTACATATCTGCCCTGTAAGTGCCTATTCACTCTCGCCTTGAAAAGGCCCGGATTTATAATATTAGTAAGATGGTAGTAGACCATTTTTGAGCTGTCAAACTTACCCACTATATTTTCAATACTTATTTTAATATAGCATAAACATGTGTAGACAGCAGACTTTAAAAACGACCGCAAATGACCATAACGAATTCTACGAACGCCGTGCCAATACAAACATCTTTTTAAAAACTGTTTTTAAGACGAAATGGACAAACTAGCAGTGCTTTGTGTGTTTTTATATGTGTGTTTAGTTTTTTGTGATAAATACCATGACAATAGAAGATATAACGATGTTTTGGCGTGGAAGCAAATTGGGTATAAGATTGGAGGTGTACAATGTAAGAAACTAGTTAATTATCAGGTCATTTTAGTCTCCACTAAAGAAATATATTTAAAACTGCCACGTGCTGTATGAGTCTTTAATAAGGCCACCTTCTATCAACGGGAACGCGTGATAAGTAACTTGCTTGTATTGTAACTTCCTACTTTTTTATATTTTTAAACTGGCAGACAATGGTGACTGAGTTTGTTGCGTCTTATTCATTAATTCTGCTATTTTTCATAACTAACGGCTGGACCGATTTTGTTTAAAATGTTATGGAGGTAGTTTTAGACCTTGAGAGGACATAAGATAGTTGTTATCCCGGTTTTTCAAACTCAAACGTCGTGTTAACCGATTTCAAAAATAGAGGAGGTTCTCGGTACGGCGCAGATTTGGTCAATTTATGAACCGATTTCCAATATTTTTTTTTTGTTTGATAGAAGGTTTAGTCCCATTTCATCCATCATCATCGTCATTTCAGCCACAGGACGTCCACTGCTGAACATAGGCCTCCCCCAATGATTTCTATATCGTGCGGTTGACAGCGGCCAACCAGCGCCTTCCTGCTACCTTTATGAGGTCGTCGAAGGCCCATTTAAATATCAAAATTGGTTCAGTATTTATAGATTTAAATCTATTTTCAGACAACAATAGCACAGATTATGAATACAAACCAGATGTCATACACTTTCATGACGAACTGGAAGATTCTGAGAAGTTTTTCATACAAAACAACAACGTTCCCATAGGGTTCGAAGTGTATGGGGATAGAGTGTTCATCACCGTGCCTAGGAGACGATATGGTAAGTGGGATAACAGTACTTATCATCATCATCACGGGACTATTCCCACCTCTCCTTCCCACCGCTGCAACTCCTGTGTAGCCAGGATCTACAGCTTGACCGCCAATAACCCAACCAGTGAAGGTCAAGTTTGTCAAGGGAGAAAGTTAAACTGTCATTGGACCCGCAACGAAAGTTTTCAGAAGAACATAGGAGTTGGAATTTAAAATTCGTCTTCCCTCGGTGCAAAGCGGATGACAGGAGACAAAACAAAAGTTTAAGTAGGTAACCAATCATTAATCATCAGGGCATTTAGTCTCCACTGCAGGACCACGGCCCTCTCTAATTTAGGAAAGGCAAATGGAGGAATTGGCCTACACTCCCTACACTGGCCAGACGAGCTGGGGAGGGTTGACAGTGGCGGGGCAAGACCTAAATTTGATGTGGGCAAGACAGATTTCGCGAGGCCTTGTTCTGTGGCGACCTGAAGACGGATTTTATGAAATAATAAAAAAAACGGGTCAATGGTCTATTCATTGTCAGTTTCTGATTTCTTGATTCAGTGTTTATTTTTAAAGGAATTTTGCGCCAAAGAATAATGTTTGTCACTTAAAACCGTGTTATTGCTTAATTTTGTGTCTGATTATGGCTGAATTTGTTTGGAAAAAAAAATTATCTACATTGTTTAGCTATCAATAATTTATATTTAATAGTCAATGTTTCAACATTTTTGATGCGCGAGGCCCCTTGTTCCGCGAGGCCGTAGGCGGTGGCCCACGTCGCCTACGCCTTACGCCGCCACTGAGGGTTGATGTTACAATATTTGAGCCTTACGCCTGTATTCACAAACATTACTTAGGGCAGTCTTTCCCTAAGCTAAAGTGGGCGATAACGCCCCCTTGTGGGCGCTGCAGGCTTAAAGGGGGCGGTAAGAGACCCAGAAAAAAAATCGGGACCCTTGTGTGGGTTACAGGCTTGGGAGGCGTCATCTAGAGGACTCTTAGACATCGATTGAGCTCGACTCTTGACTACAAAAATGGGGGGCGCTAAAAAATAATGTATTCTCAAAGTGGGCAGTAGACTAAATAAGTTTGGGAACCACTGCTATAGGGTCTTACAGTGCGCGTGACACAGGGTCACACACGAATCAATCATAATAGAGCTCTATTAACACTGTGCGTTCGATTTGCCGCTTCGCTTAAGCAAGCATCGGGTGTTTAGTTATCTCAATAAACATTGTCAAAATATTACTGCCGGCGAAACGTTTGCATCCTACCTACCGAGTTAAAATTCGTAGGTGAAAGATAATTTTAGCGAAAATTTCATCGACATTCGTGAATAATTCCCAGAATCAAAGAATTTTCTAAC